TTTATTTTTTCATTAAATTACTTAAAATTATTGGTTTGTGCTATCAAAAAAATAACGACGCTATGACACAGATAAAGATCTTACCTATGCGTTGTGAAATTTTGAAAATTCTATTATAAACATTGAGGGAGAAAAGTTGTCCCGCGCTAAACAGATTTTGCTATGTTATACGTTTGTAAGACGGAGACAACACATGCGGGTGTGACGTTCTCTTAAAGACTTCAAGTAGTTTTTATAATTTATTCTAAATTAGTTTTAATAATAAATTATTATTACACGGCATTCTAGACATCCAATTCAGCTACATAATTTTCGTGTGTACCTTATTCCGGTATTTGATATAAAATACATATGTAAATATGTCAAAGTCCTCTGCACAATCCGTRGTACACGACTGTATACGACAGATTAGAAAAAGACGTTTTTCCCTATTTTCAGAACGACTACAATTACAGGACGTCATCCCCACAACAGATTGTCGAAAAAGCGTTGAAGAGCAATCGAGTGGAACTAAACTCGTCGCAACAGGAAATACTGAAAAGGTACTATCTAATAACTTTATCATAACGCACCATTATATAGTGTTATAAACCTACTAAGAAGTATATTGATTAAATTCATGACGTATCGTGTTTATAATGTATAGGTTGAAGAAATTGCAAGAGAGTATGGTCGGCGGGGAGAGAGTCAACGACAGAGAGCTGCAGGAACGTCGATTGCGCAARAAAAAAGCAGCTGAGAGACGGTTAAACGCGTTGGCGAGAGCGCTAGCCACTGTCGAGACCGAAGACGGACCGAACTTGGTGTTGGGTGTGTACGACGACATACAGGAAGAGCTGAAGGCTAAGAACGAAGCTTTGAAGAAGTATAGACAAAAAGTATATCATATAATATATGTATTATATTATTATTATGGAATGCATTTACGACAGTATGATAAAAGTTATGATCTGACCGACCAGACGGGTCGACTAAATTATATATTGGAGATTTATCGATTCCACCGAAACAAATAATAATTATATTCATAATATATTGTATTATATTAAATTTAAGACTTGGTGTGATCAATGGAGCCAAGTGGCCCGAGTGAGTTAATAGGTATGGATTACAGTAGTTAGCAGAATCGATGAATGAACATTTGATTATTTAATAAAAGTATGAATATGTAGTGGTTAAAAAAATTGGCATTAACAATAGTTGAAACTAAACTACTTTTAAATCTATTGGTCAATATTTGTACTTACTAGCTATAAACCTATAAATCTGCCAAAATATAAACAACTAATTGTATTTATTTTAAATTCACTAATATTAAATGGCTCAATGCATAAGTGTATAATATATTTAATATATTTAGATATATAATGCTTYCCTATTTTATTGATATAATATTTTATTTTTTTGTACTGTGAATTTATCCAAAAAACTGAATATTCCTTATAAATTATAATATATATTTATGAACAAAAATGTTATTTATACATTTTAAACGACATATTTCAAATGCGTCTTATATAAATTAATAGTTATATTAATATTATATAGAGACCAAGCCAATTTGGTACATACCATATAGAAGCTTATTGTTATAGATATAAAAACAAATTTAAATTAACGAATTAAAACGACTAAAAAGAATTTAAATTCTTAAATTCTTTAAAACCGTAAGCAACTATACATACAAGTACAAAATAAAAATATATTGTTTGATGTGTTTACGGTGATAGTAATATTTGAACAAAAATGTTTACCTTCTAAAAAAGTTTAAGGGGTGTTACGGTCTTACATTTTTGATTTTCAGTTGAAAGCTTCGGATCGAGAGGTGGCAGACATCCAGAGCGAATTCGAAAATGAGCGGACGGATTACCTAGAAACAATCAGAAAACAGGAGCGACAGATCAAACTTCAGAATCAAATCTTAGAAAAAATCGTGCCAACACTATCGAAAGAATGCAATTACAGGTTGGTATATTGTGTGATCAAGATATTAGGTACCACTAAATATCTCAGCTGTGTGGCCTTGTATTGAAAAGGGGTTTTCGGGAGATGATAGGGAGTACTTAAATACATATTTTCAGACCAATTTCAAATTTTTAGTTCTTTTGGTATGTGCGTGCGCAATACAACTTACTTTTTTTAAATGGCAACCCAAATTTTTTTCTGYAGATTCGGGTAGGGTATTTTTTTTATAAACATTTATTGTWTAAAAAGTTTTTTTCTATTTTCAAAACTGACTAAGTTATAGTAAGTCAAATTTTGGCTTTGTGCATAATTCATGCAAAAAAAAGGAGTAAAATGTATTAAATAAATTTACCGTATGAATTATTTCAAAGTTTTCGCCATCATGTTCTARACATGATTCCAATCGTCTCAAAAATGTTGTCAARGTTGCCGCCTTGATTTGGCCCTCGCTTAAAATATCGCATGCWGCCTGTATTTTGTTTATCAAGTYCTGAAGATGATTAACAGGTGGATCTGCATAAATCGCAGTCTTCAAATATTCCCATAAAAAAAATCCAATGACGTTAATCTGGACATGACTATTTTAAGTGAGGATCAAATCTGCAAGGCAGTAACTTTAATTTAATTTTTGAGCCGACTGGAATCATGTCTAGAACATGATGGCGAAAACTTCGAACAATTCATACGATAAATTTATTTAACATATTTTATTCCTTTTTTTATTTTGCATGAATTGTGCATAAATCCAAATTTTGACTTACTCTAACTTGCAGGTCAGTTTTGAAAATAGAAAAAAACTTTTTATACAATAAATGTTTAAAAAAAAATACCCTACCCGAATCTGCAGGAAAATTTGGGTTGTCATTTAAAAAAAAGTAAATTGTATTTGGCGTGCGCGTACCGAGAGGGCTAAAAAATTTTAATTGGTCTGAAAAATATGTATTTAAGTACTCCCTATCAGCACCCTATCACTTCATTTCAATCCAAGGTCATCCAGCTGAGAAATTCAGTGGTACCTAATATCGTGATCACATTGTATAAATGTGTGATTGTCATAACCGATGGTCCCASGTACAAACATTGGTATAACACCTCATAGGCGCAATAAAGTGTGATATTTTTCTTTTCTTTCAGCAACTTGGAGAGGTTAAAAGAAGACGCAGAATGGGAGGACGATACGCAAAGTTGGAAATTGCCAGAACTGACGAGGATAAAACTACCACCGGCTTCGGGTAAACGAGGGGGAGGGATTGTTTAGATATTTTTTTCATTTTTTAACCTGTGATTATTTCGATACTTGGATGGGGTAGGTGCGTCGTCTTCGGGCTGCAGGCAATCCGTTAATTCGGTAACCGCTCCGGCTAGATTAGAAAACTCTGAAAATGTGTTGTCAATATATACRTTCCATCCGCTACAGGTTAAATGATTGTGTGCTAAACAGTAGGATCGCGTGGTTTACACTGCCCTACATACACAGCTGAAGTGTGTGCGATTTGTGCGCAATTTTAAATATTGTTTTCTTTCTATATCAACCAAACCGCCGACTCTTGAAAAATCGTTTTCGCTTATTATATTATATTGCAGGAAGCTCTTGCAGAACACGCGGTACATTATAATTTATAATATTYGTCTCGGCAACGGGATTTATATGACACTGCTAYAGCTATACCTATATTTCATTTACCTATTTACATTTTTGGCCGTGCTTGTAGGATAAATTGTACAATTATTGTTTGCATCTATTAAGAATTCGTTTTTACCAGTTGACACCTGCAGTTTAACTCSCTTCATTTCGACATCGAAACGCAAATAATCAAACAAATAATATGATATAGAACAGAGGTTATTGATAGAACATTGTCAGTGTAACCGTATAACAATTAAAATATTAATAAAACATTATCTATACGGAACACAAAATTACTTGGTGCCAATAATAATGTACACTTTACCCTARAATATATATTTTACGCTTTTAAATGAATAATATAATGTATTATTGTGGCTTCATGGCACGCGTCTTTCTTGCATATGATATTAGGCACGTTAACACAACCCGCCAACGGTTCGGCGGCGTTTAGCACGTTCGAAAACGGTCGGAGGAAGATGTCGCTGGGCATATTCAACACGCTGGCTGGTCTGTCGTTCGACAAGTCTTCCAGTTCAGACAGTAGTCGGCGGTCGTCGTCACCGGATGCCCTAGTCTACGATCAGGTGAAACGGTCGCACATGCATCACGGTAGTTAAGCCATAATCATACGACTTTCGATAAATATATCAGTCAGTCACAATCACGTMTTGTTAAGAAAGTTTTTTAATCGTATAGCAATATTGTGTGGACATCGGAAACCATTTTTTATTTATTTAAATAGTTAAAACGCATTTATGTATTTYATAATATAATCTAATGCCTAATGTTTCAGAAATATCAGAAATCGGCAGAAGACGACTTTGCCGGCAATTACTTTAAACCGAAACGAGCTACCGAGTTGCTAATACAATCCCACGGAGAGTCTGGTAGACCGTTTCATAAATGGAAAGGTATACTGTATTACTGTCTACACTAATAGCTAACTAAATATTATTAGCAAAATTAACGTACTAAGATTAAACTGTTAGTATAATAAAAAGACAGATACAAAGAATATTCCCTCTTAAATACTTAATATAATAATGTGTCATTTTATCGAACAAATACTATAGGTACATCATGCATATATTAAAGTCATAAGAAAAATATTTTATTATTACAGGACACAGACGTATATCACCAGAAACTATTGTTAAAAAACCGACGAAATTAGAATCACTTCTTCCGGTTATCGGTGACCGAAAACTACAAAAAAATACCTTGGACAGAATTTGAAAAAATGTTCCTAAAAAAAAATTGATAATAAYGTGGTGTACAAAAAATAAATAAAAATGTTAAATTGAGTTTATTCTTATGTTTTCCATCTCGTAAATCGTCGACCAAATGTCATCTGCCAACAGTCTGGGTTGTTCGAACGCGGCAAAATGTCCACCATCCTTCATTTCTGTAACTCTGATCAGTTTTTTGAATTTACGATTCAAAATGTTCTTCAATGCTAACGCTATCGGCATCTCGTTTGGGAAAATAGCACAGGCCGCTGGAACTTTAACGTTGGCCCTGTATATAGTAGGTATAATAGAAAACGATCAAATCGGAATTTTTATTTATGTATAACATGAACATGTGGTGTAAAATACGCATATTGCGTACAGTGATRTATACGTACTTTAAGTGAGGGAGAGCTTGGTATTTGTTACTSGCGAACTCCGCGTACACGCGCATCGACGTGGTCATTGAACCAGTCACCCAGTATATCATTACGTTGTCCAACAGTTCGTCCGTATTGAACGTAGACAGTCCACCGTCCGGTAGATTTTTGTAATTTGTGGATGTCCAGGTGGAAAATTTTTCCAAGATGTAAGCTGCCAAGCCGACCGGCGAATCATTCAGAGCGACTCCTGCACGCATCATAGCAAATTAATAATTAAAAATAGCATTTAATTGATAATTATGAATACATAATTAAAAAAATAATTATTCGTTCCTATATAATTTGCTATAAAATAATTATACTCATTAAATGTTGAATTTTATTTTAGGAATTGTTTATCTTTTCCCACCACCAAGACCCAACTACKATCATGTTATGACTAAAAAGGTTTATTACGATCATGTAGCAGTTATAGCGAATTAATAGCACGTTTTTCATTTCTGAAATGTTAACAACAAGGTGAAATGAAAATACATACCCACTGTGTCGGGTTTGGTCATTTGTATATGCATGTACCCGGATTCTTCGAGGAACCCAAAAAACACYTTGCTCAGCGGATAAGTCCGGGATTTTTCATTCTCATTGCTGACGATTATCGAAGGCCAGTACGTCCCCAAAAACAATTTAATGTATTCATTTAGTGTCATAGACGTAGTCGATGAACACATATTTGAATGCATGCCGTATACCCTACGGTGAAATTAATAATAAATACACAATATGATAAAATGTAGTTTTATGATTAAATAAAAAATAAAATAAATAATTTTATAATTCATTGTCAATATATAGAGTTCGGTATAATAATAATATTGTATTAAAAATGTTCAAATATAAAACAATATAAAGACACTCTTAAATATTTTGCATTTCTCCAGTTAAAATTAGGGAGTAGGTATGGAAGGAAACGTAAATAGCTACCTCGTCCATATAAATATATCCTAAGGTGATAATTTTAAAAGAAACTGAATGCTATGTCAATTTAACAGGGCGTCACACTCGCTACTCGCATAAGCTGTCTAAGTCTTACAAATGTACAAAAATTGCAAAAACTGTGTGAGAATAAATTGACATATAGCTAGAGGTGCTCACTGAGTATTTGATTAAAATATAAACGTRCAGAAATGTGGCTCATATAATTGTGCGGAAACGATTAAACGCTCGGTGGTGATTGAGAAWATATAGTTCACATCTATATAGTTAATATTATAACATATATAGATTCGAGAATATAAATGACAGTAGCAGTGGCGCCGAACCATATTTTAAGAAGGTTGCTAACCTAGGCTAACCTAACCTAACCTGGGCCGTTGGAATGTAAAAAGTTATATGGACCACCACCCCCGTATACAAAACCGACTAGAGGGGGGCTTAGCCCCCACACCCCCACACAATACTCTTAAATATACCATACCGGGGTTGAGATTAATTAATTATTTTGAACTCCTATTACTCCTCTTATTTTTTACTCAATAAATTTGCACACCCCGTATTCTATACCATACCGCAAACTACGCTTTAATACAGCCATCCAATCCAATGTATAAAGCGTTTGGAAAATATCAAGTACTCTTAGTTATAAGTTAACTAGGTACACAAAATACATTTTTGTTGATTTTAGACCTTGTCCTGTTTTATAGTAATATAAATAAACAAATAAATCACTGAATAATAGTATGCMAACAAAATAAATATATGTACCTAATCAAATGMTATTATTGCTAGTTGCTACTTGTTATATATTTTAGGTTTTAATTGATTAAAGAAAAACAAATAATGTTAATAATCATAATGATAGTCGATAGATAACATATTATATTTTATTGCCTATTGTTAAATCGTAAAATTAAATTAACAGTTTTGTTAAGACTGAACTGTATGATGCCATTTCGTTTATAATGTTGTCTGGATCAACAGGAACATCCTTTTCACACGACATTAACATTAAAATCAGTCCTTCAAGCCTATCTTCGCACATGGTACTTCGAAGACGTGTTTTGATCAGCTTTAATTTTGAAAACGCTCTCTCTGCAGGCGAAGCACTTGGTATTAGTAGTGTTAGAGCTATGCAAAAAGTTATGTATAGTGCAGGAAATACATAATTTAATCCTGTATTCCTGTCTTACAGTATACATTGTATAATGAGTGTACAGTTCCTTAATTTTCRCCATAAAAATTATCATCRTCACTATCTTGTTCATTTTCTGTATCAGAATAGTGTACATCTGTAATTTTCTCATTTTGTGTGTGTAATTTTTTTGGTAGGGTTACAGATTTTTCTAATCCCATATAAACACTTGCAAATTGGATATATTCTCTTCTTAAATCTGCTACAGTTATATACTTACTTAAGTCCATATACTTGTTTGAAACCATTAAATGCATCAGTAGGAATTTTTATAATCTTTATAATTAAATATATAAGGATGGATCATTTATAATTTATATTATTATGAATTAAACCTAATCAGTAATCAACCTCATCCTTAAAATGCTTAGATACCCACCATGGGATCTCCACCACCCACCCATTAAAAGAAGGGTGGTGACTGCCACCCTTGATTTATGGTTTCGGCGCCACTGGACAGTAGTTATATGCCTAAAATATGTTTGCCCAATAGATGTCTTGATTCACGGGGGTTAGGGAATCTCTCACCTTTCAGGAAATAATTTCGAAATCGCTTCGGTTATGACTGATCCCCAATCGCCGCCCTGGATGTAGAACTTTTCGTGGCCGAGCCTCTCCATGAGCTTGACGAACATTTGGCCCATATGCGCCGGACCCATACCAGGCCGGGCAGCCGCCTCTGAAAATCCGTAACCCGGTAACGAGGGCGCCACCACTTCGAATACGAAATTTAAACCGTCGACCGGTGTGGTAAGCATTGGAATGATTTTGTAAAACTCAACGACGGAACCGGGCCACCCGTGAAGCAAGAGCAGCGGGATCGTCCGGGCCGTGGTTCGTGCAGGYGGTTTCACGTGTACGAAATGCAAGTCCAGACCGAAAATGTTGGTCTTGAACTGTGGCAAAGAGTTGAGATACGTCTGTCTGACTGTCCAATCATAACGGTTCGACCAGTGGTCAATGATCTTTGCCAAGTGGTCGCCGTTGAAGCCGTACTCGAAATTCACGTTCCGCAACGGCTTTGTGAACGGTCGGGCGTTCGACAACCTGTACTTCAAATCCGCGATGACCTGGGATAAACGAATATGGGGTGAATTTTTTTATTTTAAAATATGACATCATGATTGAGTCTCGGTTATATCGTGCGGCGTATAGACAAAGGATTGTAAGTTATGTGATCGGGACCATGTTTAGGATAAGAAAAACAAACAAAATTAGTACGAAAAACACGAGTAGTAACTTAAGAAGACGCCTTACCCGCATGAATTGTCTCCGTTTTACAGACATACAACATAACAAAAATTGTTTTGTGCGGGATAGTTTACTCCCTCTGTATTTATTGCAAAATTAACAAAATTCCACAACGCATAGGCAAGAATTTTGTCTGTGTAGTAGCGTTTTTTTTTCGATAACACTAACCAATAATTATAAATAATTAATTTTAAAAAAAATCAAATTTTCTTAAAMTGATAACTTAAATTGTATTTATTTTACTTATTAAAAACGCTACGACACAGATAAAGTTCTTCCCTAAGCGTTGTGAAATTTTGTTAATTCTGCAATAAATATACAGAGGGTGTAAGGTATCTTGCACAAAACAGTTTTCGGTAGGTTGTATGTCTGTAAAACGGAAACAATACAATATGCAAGTGTGGCGTCCTCTTGAAAATATCCCAAGACTTTATGAAAATCATATTTTATGTATGAAAAAAACCAAATATTTTTGTTTGTCTTAAATTTTATTATTTCCTAATTGCGTTATTTATTGAAATAAATACTGATTGAAGTCAATAGTAAACTTTTTTTCAGTAAAAAAATAATTATTAATACATCAGATTTACAAATAATTAATTAACATAATAGCGGTTTTTTTGATGATTGATAAAAGTCATCGGTCAAAGGTCGAGTTTTAGTAGATACGCGATAAAAAGCAATTTAAACTTTATATACCTATAACTGATAACTGAAAAATACTTATAATAAATATTATAACTTTAAGTTATTTGCCACAATGTAAATTTGTTTCATCAGAAATGGATTTACTTTTGTCTTGGTATTAAAATAAACAAAAGTTTCATAACCAATTCTCATAATATATCAAATAGATTTTTGAATGTCTAAATAATAATTAAAATTATACTCAACACATAATAACATTAAGTGCAAAATTGTTTACAAAATTTAAAAGCATTAATAACAAGATTGCTATATACATGCCAGAGTTTGATAATTTTTATGAAAAAATGTCCTGTTTCTACTGCGGAATGTGAAAGAGGATTCAGCTTAATGAATAACATAGGTATATACTAAACTAAGAGCAATGCTTACCATAAAGAACATTTCCAATTTAATGTTTATTAATATTAATGGTTCTCCGTTAGAAAAATAGGACCACAAAGACTATGTGAAATTGTGGATGATTAATCATAGATCTGCATAAGACACTAGAAGCAAATTAAGTCGATCAGCTATCGTTGCAAATAGTGAAAAATCAAACCTTTGGAAAATACTTAAAAAATGTAACGCATTTATCCTATTAAAATATTAATTGCTTAAACAATTTATTGTTTTTAATATATCTAGTATATTGTAAAGAAAAATATTGTAAATGATTATTCTATTATTTTCTGAACATAATCAAATTCCCAAAGTATTTTGACTTTTTTTGAGTTACCTATTTAGAGCATTTAAAACTTACATTTTTTCCGTTAAAATGTTAATATTTTTTTTTTTCACTAGACTTAAAGCTTGAAAAATTAGTATGAGGTTGCGAGGTTGCCTAAATTACCTTCAGTAGAGCGGTATCMATTAGCCCACCTTTTTTACAAACTATTTGTGTATAACTAATTTATAATATACCATAAAAAAAGGTTAATATGGTTAATATACCATTAACCTACCTAGTCAACTATGATAAATATAATATTATATTAAGGCAGAAAATAGTGTCATACAATAAAAACTTATGATGGGTTTACATATTTATATATTGTGCAAAATGTATTTACTAGATGCTAATGTACTGTCGAAATTTTACGATATCATCACATACTTCGTTCGTGACGTTTATCACAAATGGTCGAATTTCTTTGGCGTTGCTACGGTGTTTCGCGCGGCCGKAATTGGATCCCCAACAAACGTCCACGGGCATTGTTTCGGGCTCTACAATGTCGATGGAAGTTTTCTGGTAAACGACTAGCACAAATGCGACTAAGGCGGCCAACAAGTATTTTAATTTTCCCATTTTCTATCGTATTTTGTATCGGTGTGCCACTATTCCTGTTYCGTACGCTGCCGGCAGCACACTGAGCTATGGCGCGAGTTGTAGGTAGGTACGTGACTACGCGAGTAAACACGACAGATAGCTTAGAATAGATAGCGTTGTTATGACTAGGTGTAAAGTTTAGGTACCTAATGGCTAATAAATAATAATGCCTTATACCTACCTAAAAACTAAAATATTATCATGATATTATCAATGCACAATATAAATCATACTATATACAGTGTTTAATTTATTTCCATCAAAAAAAGGGTTTTTGAGTTTTTTCCATTTGATAGTAGTTTAAATATTAATGTTTTGGAAAATTACTTTAAAAAAAACTTTAAACTATTACTTTTGAGTTTTGTTCAATATTTAAATATTATCTGCAATTTATCGAGTTATTGAGTTTTGAGTTGATAATAATATATTATGTAAATATTTCAAAATTTGAATCAACGTTTTTAATTAAATATTCAAACAGCTATGTATATTTTATTTTATATTTTTATAAGAAGTGAGTAGCATAGATTAAATATACTATAATATACTAGTATATTTAATCTATGTGAGTAGTAGCTTAAAGGAGTATACAGTATTATAGTACCGTAGTACACAGTCTACACACAATGTTGAAGCCTGGTGAGTGGGTCTATCAGAGGACAAAACCAGTGAATCACTCTGTATCTAAGAGCCCATGCGTGTTTGTACTATTTTAAACATTATATTATGTAGTCGGGTTACACTGTTGCCGTCTGCTACTCTGGCCAAGTCCGTGTGATGGCTATAATATGATAATCATGAATAATGCAACAGATAACTTAATAATAGTTAGGTACCTACCGGCTACCAATAGTTAGTCTTGCAAACAATTATAATACACATACAAGGTACAAAGCAATCATATTTGACCGGTTCTTTTTGGATTTTGCCATTTTGGTACCTAGTTACTTTGAAGTTTTTAACTTATATCACTGAATGTTTAAAAATGTATTTATCATTATCATGACAATATACAAAATATAAGTTACCTATAGTTAAAAAAATTATTATGTTATTATGTTCTATCAAGTGTTATGGTTTGAATTATTAACCTATATAGTATATTGTATAATATAAAAACACATTTTTCGTACGAATTTAATTAACAGTTTGAGACATTCAAGAGGTAGGGTTTACGAGTGCACGGGTTCAGCTAGTATTATATATTATTTGATATAAATAAATATATAATGATATATCAGTCATAAATAACGATAAGTATGGCACCACTATGGCCTATGATTAATCAAATTATATTAGGCCCCTACGCTGATGAAATAAAAATAAATAAATAATATTAAATAGTAGTATAATAGTATGCAGTATGCCAGTATGATTATAATATGTATCATGTATGGTATCTATGTTTCTACTCTCTTGTCTGTATTTAATATTATCATCGTTTTTAATTACCTTATTATATGTAGTCTATAATCTAGACTATCTGTTTATGTGTTAACCCTTTATAGGGCATTATAGTTAAAATATGAACAGAAATGGATGGAATTTTCAGGATAACATAACTATAGATAGAGKATACTAAAATAAATAAATAAAAAAACATATTTTTATTTGCAGGGGTTGAATTGGGGGTGGGAAGTTATGGGAAATTATTTCCCAATGACCGTTCTGCTCATACAATACTTCTATGCGGTTACAGGGAAATGATTTCCCACCGACTCTGATATTCAAAAAACTAATTTTATGTATGAATTACTATAAGAAATTAATTATTTAGCAAACACAAATATAAATATGAATGACATCAACATTGCATTTAAAAAAGTTTTCATCTGAAAAAAACTTTTTTATTATTTTTTTTGTTTATTTTATTGAAATATTTAGTTAGTGATGTATTTTTTCATTTGAAGTTATACCTACATATTCATAATCTGTAGATAATAATGAATTAGATTATACTTACTTTAAACTTTTTAAGTCAAAGTTTAGTGTACTAATATTTACTTTAAAAAGATGCTTGAATAATCACGGCAAAATTGATTATCTTTTAATCAACCGTGAAAAAATAAATAATAATGAACAAATATTAAGAGGACGTGATACCCGCATGTGTTGTCTCCGTCTTACAAATGCGTAAYATGGTACATTTTTCGCTCAGCAAAACACGTGTAGCTCCGTTAACTTAAAAATTAGAGTGAACTGACCTCTTATAAAATTTAAAGGTAAGATTATTATCCAGACAACCTCATATGCTTTTTATTTTGTATCAAATTTAAAGCGAGTTATGAGTATTTTAAAATTGTACATTTTTTGTGCATCTTGTTGTATGCAATATAAAGTTATGACTAAATACAGAAAAAAATCACCGATTTTTCCATAATACGCATATTGTATATTACAGTTCTACATATAACAAATTACAATTTTTTTTCATTAATGGGAAATTATTTCCCTCTACCCTATAAAGGGTTAACTAGGTTTGTCAGCAACTCAGTGGGACGTGGCATATCATAATTAACTAACTAATTAGTTAATCATAGATTTGCCAGTATGGCTGTATAGCTACGCTATTGGGTACCTACGTATATACTTGAATGTCATATTAAATTACGTATGAAATTTCATAATCTTAAAAAGTCATCTTAAATGATTGCTATTTGGGCAAGGTAAGTACAAGATATTTTTCGAACAGTTGGTATACCTAAGTGTCCTAAGTACCTAAAACTATATTGAAAGAAAGTATCTACCCTTGCGTTCGACCAATTTGGCAATAGTTACGTCCCTTATTTTTTTAAAACTTGAGTAGTTAGATGAAATACTTTTTAATTTATGAATAGGTTATATTGTTAAATTTGATAAACTTAAATATAGTTAAAATGTCTATATATAATGATGTTTATGCCTATATTTGTCTATGTTTATAATGTCTGGAGGGAGGGATGTTTGACGGGATGGTCCTAGTGGCCGTTACACCCGAAGAAGAAGTTTATGTCTATATGTATATGTTAAGATATACAAACAATATACAATTTTAAAATACACATAACTCGCTTTAAAATGAGAATATAATAAAAAGCCATCCATAATAATGTAACCTCTAATTTTTATAAGAGGTCAACTCACTCTAAATTTTAAACTAACGGAGCTAAACGTGATCTGCTGAGCGAAAAATTTGGTATGTTATGCACTTGTAAGACGGAGACGACTCATGCGGGTGTAGCGTCCTCTTAATACCTACTATTTATTGATCT